GTGTCCCTGCCCATGGCAGGGGTGGGACTGGATGGGCTCTGAGGTCCTTCCAGCCCAAATGTTCCATGGAATGCTCAGTAAAGGAGGTTTCCAGGCCCTTCCCTGCTTCCTGATTTGCATCTCTTTGTGTCCCTTGGACAAGAATTCCCAGGGGGTTGCTCCTGTTCCAGGCCATGTCCCCCCCTGTCCCTGCTCAGCACGGTGTCTGTGTGTCCCTCCAGTGTCTGTGTGTCCCTCTGGAGCTGTTCCAGCTCCTCACATCCCCCTCCAGCCCTGCCCCGGCACAGGGGGGCTTGTTGTGTGTCCCAGGAACAGTTCAGTTGTGTCTCAGTTACTGGGCAAGGAAGTTCTTTGCTGCCTTCACACCCCAGAAATGAGCAGTGAAGGCCAGGCTGACTCTGAGCCGGTGGAGGTGATTAACACCTAATTAACACAAGCAAAGTGCTGCAAGTGAGACCGGCAGTGGAGGCACAGCAGCAGCACAAAAAGGTGATTAAAGGGTTGTGGAACATCCTTGTCAGACCAAATCATTGCAGAGTAGCACCAGGGTGTCAAACTTGCCTAAAAGGCTCCAAGGAGACGCTGTGGGTTCAGTGCTGGGGGCACTGTGGGTTAAACCCTCTCTCCATGTGTTTTCCAGCCCATTGGAGCTCTGCTGCTGGAGCACTGCAGGATCACCAAAGAGGAGGAGAACGTCTTCTCCATCAGTGAGTGCTGCCTGGGCACCATCCCTGGGCCTTTCCCCTGGGGCAGAGGGAAGGGAGGTGTTTTGCTGCTCAGTTCCTGCTGCTCTGGTGGCAGTGGGGTCATCTCAGCCCTGCCCTCCTCTGTGGGGTCAGTGCCCCTCACCCTTCCCCTCCTCTGTGGGGTCAGTGCCCCTCAAGTGGGGTTTGGTCTCTTCTCCCAGGGAACAAGAGGAAACAGCCTCAAGTTGTGCCAGGGGAGGTTTAGGTGGAATATTAGGGAAAATTTCTTCCTGGAAAGGGTGTTCAGGCTGCCCAGGGCAGTGGTGGAGCCACCATCCCTGGAAGTGTCCAAAACCCATGTGAATGTGGCACCTGAGGACGTGGTTTTGTGGTGCACACAGTGGTGCTGAGTTGATGGTTGGACTTGATGATCTTAAAGATCCTTTCCAACCTTAGCAATTCCATG